GTGAGTGACGTAATACCGACAAAGGAAAACACTGACGTGCTGTACATCACAGCTGGCAACAGCGTCAACGCAGCCAAATCAATGAGACGGTGCTGTCACGCGCACCGCACAGTGCACAGCATGTGTCTGCCATTGGCCAGAATGGCCTGTTGATAGCATGCGGTGGTAGCCAAGGAGTCCGTGAATGAATTCGTGTTAGAGACTGAGGACGGAGTCTATGAAGATTAGTAGCAAAAATATCTCAACATCGTTGGGCCTAGTTTCTAAACAGAAACGTCGAGTTCACAAGAAACGCCGTCGACAAAAAGTTCAGAGTCAAAACCTCATCAAACTCGAATATGTTGTAGCTCTACTCCGTGGCTACAATTCCCAAGTTGAATCACGCGAAAAGGTGAAGTATTTCTTGAGCTATCAATTTCGGCGCACTAGGGGGTATGCTGCCATAGAATCTTAACTCAATCACAAAGTTCACACAAGAGAATTGGAGTAGCACTAAACCAGGTGGAAGGGATGAGGAGGACGAGAGGGAAGATCCCAAGAGAGTCCCCAACCAAGGAAACCCCATGCCATACAATTCCCTTCCCCATAGGCAACCCAACTTTGACCTTTGTCACTATCCCAACCTCCACAATCCACCTCAACCCAACTTGGCCACACTTGCCAGCCTGGTTTGGTTTCTCCCAACCATTTGGCAGCAACTACAGTAGAAAAGACGAATTTCCCAACCCTCAAAAGTCTGTACCCCATATTGAGTCAACCCCACAACTTCCCATAGTCACCACAACCAAATATCAAAAAGCATACGAACTCCAATGTTCGTAATTTTCTTGTTCGTGCTCTGATTGAAGCGATACTTGGTTCCTCGGAAAGCTCTTGAGCAGAGGAGTCACTTCAGATATCTGCTCAAGCCAAATAACATTCACACACACACACACACTCAGAAAAACCAAACCGCACAAAACACAAATTTCTGCACACACTCACAACACGCATGCAACGCACGAACATATGATGGGAGGCAGACAGACGTGAATGCGAATGGTAGCATCACTCAACAATTCGGCCTTGAATGCAACGACGAATTCATCGTGGAATGTTGCCATCAAGTCCATGGAATCGCGGCGCTGTGGTTTCGTGCTCCCGCCATCTCCAACCTCCCCTTCCCTCCCCATACCAGCATCCAACGTTCCTTTGTTCACTAGTGTGTTCTTTCCATTACGTTCATTCATTGTCTCATTTTCCTCTCGTTCAGTTTAGCCACCAATGGAGGCCATGGTGGCCGACAAAGCTGCTCCGGACACTGGCCACGACGAGCCGCCTGTAACAGCGAAACCAACAGCGCCGTCCCAGCCGAAGAAAGCTTCGGATGCTCCCCGCTCTGGGCTAGATTTTCTTAGATCTATGGCTGCTCCCGTCACACTTGAACCGCCTAGGTCTACCGTTCACGACTCTGCCCTTGTAGTAACCCCTACTCCTACTGCTTCTCCTATTCCCGTCCCGTTCACTCTCCCCCTGGCTGTTGCTGGCTATAGCAAAGATCCTCCACCGCCCTCACTCAGTCTTACTCCAAGCACGGTGCGGGTGTCCCTTGGCTCGCCGTCGGCTACTTCCGCTCCCAAGCGTGCGTGATTTGGTAAGTGGGCGCAGAGTACTCTGCTGGTGGGAGGCCGCCGTATTCCACCGCCGGAAAAGCCCGATGAGCCTGCACAGAAAGAAGCTGAGCTGCCGGAAAAAGGTGACATCCCAGTGCGCGCGGATACCGGCTCACCGGCACTCACCAAGATGCAGCTGCGAGAGCAGATGTACCTGGAGGCGAGTATTAATTACGAGACGAAGTGGGCTGGACACTTTTCTTGGCTTGTGTTTGGGAAAACCAAGGACGTTTTCCCGTACGTGAAGTGCAGCATCTGCATGTCGTACGTTAAGGGGAACACGAGGTACGCCATGCAGGGAGACAACGGAGGCCGTGACTTGCAGACGCAGTCGTTTCGGGCGCACGAGCATACGGACGCACACATGGCGGCAGTGGAACGCCAGATGAAGATTGCGGCGGGAATCCGCGAGGGGCAGCAGGTGATTTCGGACTTCATCAACTCCGACGTCGAGGGCCGCCGCGCGATACGGCTGATGCGGTCGACTCAGTTCCTGTGCCAGTGCGACGCGCCGATTAGCATGTTTCCTAAGCTGATGCGGCATCTTGCGAAGCAGGACAGGCCAGACATTCCCCGGCAATCGTACGGCGTTTATCTCACGTAGTTAGTGACGGTTCAAATCGATTGCAAATTTAAACATGCACGTCAAACAACTAGCTTGACTATCGTGTACTGATAATTTCCCTGTCCTTTATTGCAGCTATGGCTTCCAGCAGATGGTCCACAGCATGAGCACTTACCTCACCCAGGTGCGGATGGACCACGTCCTGGCATCACCGTTCCTGGGCATCCAGTGCGACGAGAGCACTGACCTCACGCGAGGGAAACACATGATTGTGTACCTTACATATGTGAAGAACCGCCAAGTTGCATGCGAGTTTTTCACTTTGCTGACGGTCGAGCGGTGTGATGCAGGGTCCTTGTTTGAGGTGCTACTGAACCATCTTCGCTCCGCTGCCGTCGATGTGTCCAAGATCGTCGGCATCAGCACGGACGGGGCGTCGGTCATGACCGGGAGAGAGAACGGATTGGTGGCGCGTCTTTGTGAACACGTCCCTCATCTGTTCTCATGCCATTGCATCGCCCATCGGTATGTGAGTTGGTCTGTATTGTAGCATGTTATCTACGTTGATAAGTTCACTAACAAACCATAATACTTGTTCCCTGCTTTACACAGTGAGGCGTTGGCTGTGAATGACGCCGCTGACTCAAACCCGGATCTCGACATGGTCGACAAGGTGGTGCGCACTGTGGCGGCTCTGCTCGGAAACTCCAGCATGTGGAGTCAGCGGTTCAAGTACCTGCAGCGTGTGATTTACAAGACCAACCTGGAAGTCCAAGGCATATACACGGTGCGGTGGCTGTCTCGAGGAGATGCGGTGGCCAGGTTGTGCAAGGTCCTCGGCGCTTGCATCGTGCTGCTCTGGGAGCACAATCAAAAGGCGTACGAGATTGTCACTTGCTACAAGTTTCAGTACAAGGAGGAGGAGGAGGAGGAGGAGGAGGAGGAGGAGGAGGAGGAGGAGGAGGAGGAGGAGGAGGAGGAGGAGGAGGAGGAGGAGGACGATGAAGTGGAACAGGCCTTCGACGATGATCAGGAGATTGTGGGGGAGGAGGAAGTGGAGGACAATCCATTCCTGTCGGGCGATGAGGATGTGGAGGAGGTGTACTTCATAGACAAGCTCGTGCACTAGACTACATAGAGTAGGAAAGTGCATGCAGTTGTGTCATTTTGGAAAATAGTGCACCGTTAATAGCAACCTTGTTTTGAGCTGTGAACTTTGTCCGGTCAGAGTTGGACTTCGTGTGACACTGAGCTATCAGGGTAGCTACCTTGCGAAAAATGTGCCCTCATAATCGAGGGTCAAAATTTTTACTGGAATCAGGGAGTCCTAAAACGAAACGTCAGCCCTGTATACACCTGGCTATCGTCGCAAATTCATTATATCAAGCACGAATGAACAGCACAGTGTATTAAATGTTACTGAAGGTAACAATGTGTTAGAACTAGAGGCTACAGTTACGATTCGGGTTACGGCAATGTCGACGCCCAGTCGCGACACCTGGGTGCAAGGTCGTCAATGACTGTACCTGGCGTTCAATTACCATTTACAGACGGAAACCAAGGTTCTCGTAAACCGAGGCTACCGAGGTCATTCTACAGTGGTACCCCCAATCCGTTGTTTACAAAGCTCTACATGGGGCTCGGTAAGCGGGTCACAATTGGCTGAACGCCAATCCATATACGGGGCACTTGGCAAAAGCCATCACGAGAGATAAACAACACCTCGATCAACCTAAACAGCCAAAAACACAGCCTGCTTTTTTGCGATGGTGTGAGGCGGAGCTGTGTGTAGCGTAGCTGCTCGGGTCTCGCTGTTGACCCTCTGCCACCATCTACGAGCTCAGTAACACCGATTTCGCATGCCATGCGAATCGAGGGAGCGGACCAGCCGCACGCCATGCGATGAAGAATATCTGGACTGCCCTTCGATCCCACGTAAGAAAATCCAAATTCTAGTCGAATCCTCCGCAAAATTCCCCCCCACTCCCCCTTGCCTCCCCCCTGCCCTTGCTTTCATGCCCCCATACATCACTGAAACAAGAACGTGGCGGAACCCGCGCATGGTATGCAATCCATCTCGCGAAAGTCCTCTGTGTTCTACATCTCGCCTTGTTCTAAAACCCAACTTCACCGCCGTCGATCGACCTCCGCATTTTGCCACGTCAGCTTGGTCGCGCGAGCCGCGGAACGCGAGTGGACGAGCTTGTTCTCAGTCACCCCTACACTTGCCTGCTGGTCTATCCGCGCTTGTGAAAGCTTGATTGGTGCGAGTTTGGTTAGGGCTGTGCAGCAAACGCAAATAACCAGAACTTTCGTTATAGTAAATTGAAAACCGAACTTGCGTCACGAACTGCGAATACCGAATCCAATGTTATCAGGAATACGAGTTCTTCAAATTTCGTTTCGTGGAAGGACGAACGGAAAAAAGTCGGGTGTTGACAAAATGTACAGCTGTCAACATATTTTTCACAAAGCGTTGACTCAAATTTCAAGCGCTTGACTCGACGATAGCCATTGGTCCACTGGTTCCAGCTCAAGTCATCGCGCCGCGGGGAAATCATTTCCATGTGCAGCAGTATTCGCGGTTCGACGTTAATACAAAGGGCTGGGTCACTTAGGCAACTCATCACATCATCCACTCTCCTTCACACATTTGTAGTGAAGATAGGACTTCGAGCTTTCCAACTTCTCTAGGTGCTTTCGATTCTTCGATTCCAACCTGCTACTTCCAGAATACAATCTTACGTGGAATTTTCAGCTGAACCATACGCAACGCCAGCACAATGACGCAGAGGGTCTCAATTCTGTCCAGCCAGCGTCGTCGCCGTGACCTGAGCAAGGCCTTTCTCCTCCTATCGCTTGTTCTTGTTTCGTCTCTCCACGCGGCGTTGGCCTATCGCTTCTCCGCGGGGCTCCGCGCGGACAAGCTGCGCGGGATGATGCGCGGATGGGCGCGAGGCGGAAGCTCGACCGGCCAGCCGCAGCAGCAGCAGCAGCAAAGCGGCGGAATCAGTGAAAGCGGTATGGGCAGCGGCGGAATGGGTGGTGGCGGAATGGGTGGCGGCGGAATGAGCGGCGGCGGAATGGGAGGCGGCGGAATGGGTGGCGGCGGAATGGGTGGCGGCGGAATGGGCGGAAGCGGCATGGGTGGCGGCGGAATGAGTGGCGGTGGAATGGGTGCCGGTGGAATGGTTGGCGGTGGAATGGGCGGAGGCGGAATGGGCGGCGGCGGAATGGGCAGCGGCGGAATGGGCGGTGGCGGAATGGGCGGCGGCGAAATGGGCGGCGGTGGAATGGGCGGCGGCGGCACGGGTGGCGGCGGAATGGGCGGCGGCGGAATGGGCGGCGGCGGAATGGGTGGCGGCGGAATGGGCGGCGGAGGGATGGGTGGCGGCGAAATGGGCGGCGGCGGAATGGGCGGCGGCGGAATGGGCGGTGGCGGAATGGGAGGGGGCATGGGCGGACCTGGTTCCTCTGCTCCCGGATCGCAATCAGCCATGGATCCTGGAAGAAACAAGGGTGGCGACGGAATGGGCGGCGGCGGAATGGGTGGCGGCGGAATGGGCGGAGGCGGCATGGGTGGCGGCGGAATGAGCAGCGGAGGAATGAGTGACAGCGGAATGGGCGGCGGCAGCATGGGTGGCGGTGGGATGGGCGGAGGCGGAATGGGCGGCGGCGGAATGGGCGGCAGCGGAATGGGCGGCGGCGGAATGGGCGGAGGCGGCATGGGTGGCGGCGGAATGAGCGGCGGAGGAATGAGTGGCGGCGGAATGGGCGACGGCAGCATGGGTGGCGGTGGAATGGGCGGAGGCGGACTGGGCGGCAGTGGAATGGGCGGCGGCGGAATGGGCGGTGGCGGAATGGGCGGTGGCGGAATGGGCGGCGGCGGAATGGGCGGCGGCATGGGCGGACCTGGGTCGTCTGCTCCCGGATCACAAGCAGCCATGGGTCCTGGGGGAAACATGGGCGGCGGCGGCATGGGTGGCGGCGGAATGGGCGGGGGCGGAATGGGCGGTGGCGGAATGGGAGGCGGCGGAATGGGCGGCGGAATGGGCGGCAGAGGCATTGGCGGCGGAGGAATGGGTGGGTCAGGGTGGGTTGCTCCAGGGTCGCAGGTAGCACCCGGCCAGGGTGGACCTGGGATGGGCGGAGGGATGGGCGGAGGGATGGGGGCAGGGATGGGGGGAGCTGGGGGCAACATGGGAGGCGGGATGGGTGGACCAGGGCCGTTTTCTCCTTGATGCAAGACATTCCCTCACCACAGGGAGGAGGGGAGTGGTTGGCGGTAATTAGCGGAGGCATGGGTGGTAAAATGGATGGGGGGATGGGGCGTTGAGGCCGCAAGGAAAAATGCCGGTACCGTACGATTTGTAGGTGGCTTGGCTTCACCACCACACGGATGCTACGGGGGGTGGCAGCTAGTGTAGGGGTCTCAGTAGCATTGCCGCAAGAGGCGTTAGGGGTTTCCTGTTTCGTTTCATTGCCAGAGCTTTGGTGCAGCAGCACGCTCACTGGTGCATGGGCGCTGATGCATCAGTATAGTGCTGCTTCGCCCAAGCTCGTAGCAGGTACCCAGTCTGGACCGGGCAGCTGTATGTTCACCGCACATGCTTCGCCCAAGCTTGTAGCAGGTACCCAGTCTGGACATCTGTGTGTGTACTGTATGTGTAGGGTGCAAGGGCGTGATTGAAGAAATGTTTTGAGACGTCTCAAAACATTTCTTCAATCACGTACCCATTCTGGACAGCTGTGTGTGTACTGCATGTGTAGGGTGTAAGGGCGGGATGGCTCTTTGTGTGCCGTATTTTGTTTCGATATTTTGGATTGTGTGTACATTCTTCTCTTCTGTGTGTCATCCTCGTTGCACTCTCATAACAAGAGAGCCTAATCTGGTTACTACATGGAACACCAATCTGTGTTGGAATTGCACACAAAATCCGCACTATAGTTCAAAATACTCACCTGGAGGTAGTGTGTATGCTCAATGCTCATGGAGGTGGCTTCAACCAATCATGCTCCGAGTTAAATAGAGATGGATGGATGGATGCATAACACAAGCTGTTCAGTAGTGAGGAATCCTAGCCGGAGTAGCAGCAGCAGAGCAGCAGAGCAGGAGAGAAGTAGAATGCCCAGCCCTGTCATGTGTGCGGGGCTACTGTTGGTATCTACTAGTAGCTCTCTTACTCGTTAAAAGGTGCATCAAGAGACTAGTAGCTCTCCTCTGCTTCGATTTCTGGCAGCGAGAGTGTAAGGGAGAGGGGGGGAGAGGGGAGGAGGGGGGGTAAGGGAGGGAGAGGAAGGAGGGAGGGAGCATATAAGAGAGATAGAGAGGGACATGAGATCAGTGGGCGGGGTTGAAGATTGGTAGGCGAACGAGGCATACTTCTACATGCGTCTTCACAAATTTCAGAGTTGTTTAGATTAGGGTGGTGAGAGTGAGCTAGATGCCAGGATGCCAAGGTGAAGGGGAGTGACCAGTGAGTCGACTCAAAAGGCACCTGGATAAGGGCGGGCGGTGAGAGTGAGCTAGATGCCAGGATGCCAAGGTGAAGGGGAGTGACCAGTGAGTTGATTCATTCCGCTATACAAAGCACACAAATACTCAGCATGCAATCTCAACCACCTACACAGATTTCGGGTTATCGTTCAGTTCCGTCCATTGGGCTTAGCACAATGGTTTAGCCCCCTTGGATGGTGGGTGTCACAAGTTACAGCTCTAAACCCTAAAACAAAAACCGGTTGACAAGTGATATATCCGACTGTGTGAAGCTCGAAACGATGTGTGATAGACCAAGAATGCTGTCTACTTCCAACACCGCGTAATCATCTCTCCCAGTGGTCAGCTGAAGCCTCCGACATCCTGTGATAGGGCATGGGGTGTCCAGCTCCGTGTAGTACTTGACTAGTGCTCGTCGGACGACTTGCTGACTAGAATCAGTGAAGTGAAAGAGCATGAGGCATCTCCCATACCACACCCCACCCTGCCCTTCTATCTGCACATGGCTGAACTTTTGCTCGGCCGGCGACGCCTTTATAACATGACCCAAAACTCCTCGTTCCATCTGGTCGTGCGGGGGGATGGCCAGCGCAGTGTGAACCTGCACGTCATCGCATATGCACAAGGGTAAGACTCACGCCTGACTTTGTGTGCCCAAGTATTTCTGCATACCAAATCAATGTTGCAACGGGTGCGAGTAGCGGGGTGGTTGGAGGAACCAACTAATGAAATGACTCACCTGCACCGAATTTGCATCAATGCCCACTGCTCTCATCACCTCCACCGCTCTTGCCATGACATCGGGCCCGAGTGCATCACGGAACTCCGACCACACTGGATCCATCTGGACGCCGACCTCCATGCGACGGCTTCGTTTGGTGAGGACACGGATGTTGTGCTCCACCGCCTGGTTCAAGTTACAGTTTAACCAAACATGGCATGAAAATACTCTGTCCCACACAGCAGGGTTGATACAAACTAAAGGGGCCTCCATTTCAGGCCAGAACAAGGCCAACGAGCACGATTTGGCTTTACAAACAGTTTCAAGAAGAGACTTACCAGGCGCATTGCGGTCTTGTACACCCGGGTGCCACCCTCGCCACGCACCAGCCCTCTAATGGCTGCCATCCGCGAGTGCTCGCGCGTTACGTCTCTCCAGTTTGTGTTCTTAGCGTGACATTTCACCGAGATCTTATGCTTGGCATCATACATGTTGGTAGAGTACTCATTGGGCATGCCTTGCATCACAATGGAGGCCGGGAGGTGAGACAGTTGGTGTACCTTCACGAGGAGGAACCCTGAAATCTGATTCGGGAACACGGCAACGAGCTTAGCGATGAGCCTGGCCCAGACCCAAGCACGTGGCGTCATGACATGCAATACCCCCAATGGTTGGAAAGAATCGCACGCGGGTGTGGCTTAGTAGTGAGCATAACAGAGAAACAAACTGCGAGGGTTCTGTGCCATTGGAAACTGCCATGTTATAAATGACACTCGTATTGGGGGGGGGCAACAAGAGCCTCCAAGGGTATGTGGTCTCACCTCTCTGTCATGGTGACCATGGCCGCAAGAGACTGATCGGTGTGGTACTCCACACGAAAGTAAGCCTTGTACCATTCACTGAACATAACGGTCGCCTCTCCAATGTCCTCGTACCCGAGGAGTGTCAAAATAATAGGCTAAGTTGAAAGGAAGGGCCTAGGCTTAGTAGCCTAGGCCCGTGCTTAGGTATCGAGCGGGTTTTGCCCTAGGCGAGGTGTCGAGTGAGTTGGGAAAGCAATTGGAGAAAAGAGGTGGTTTCACTATAGGTTCAAGGGTACATATAGCATAGAAACCAAATAAGGTGCACCACCAACAACAATTTAAATAACTAAACTAACTACAACTACAAGCAGTTATAAAACATGACAATATATTTCGACACGCCCCCATAATGCTTGTAGGTAGATATGTAGTTACAGCATAGCAAGCAGCAGCAGGTACCCCTTCCATCTCCTCACCCTCCTCCTTCCCCTCCCCCACACTGCTGCAGGAGCAGCAGAGAAGGGGGGGAAGTGAGGAGTGGTGGAGGGACGGCTGCATGTTGCCTCACACCCGCCACCCCGGTACCACTCCCCCTGCTCCCCCACATCCTCACACCCTCTCCCCCCAGCGGCAGCTGCAGCAGTGGGACTGAAAGAAGGAGGAGGGGAAGGGAGAGAGGTGACCCAACACTCCAACACCCTCCACCCCCATACCCTCCTCCCCACGGCTGCAGGAAGACAAAGGAAGGAGGGGGTGGGAAGGAAGAAAGCCGCAGAGCGGCAAAAAGGTGTCGGTGCAGATGGGTCAGGGGCGGCTTCAGGGAGATCAGGGGCGGAAAGGCCCGTCGCGTGCCAGTGCCACGGGGCGCACGACGAGTAGCACTACGGCCGTATCTATGCAGCATTGTATGGCGCAGTGTGTTCGGGGATTTCTGAAAGACGGGAAACGCATATGCTCCACCAACCACACACACCTCAGAAGCTCCGCGCGTAAAGTGGGCGTAAGTCTCCCCAAGATGCACTTCATTGTGTGCACCCAGAGACCCTCATCCACTACATGTAAGATACAAATACCAATGGCCTCGTACAGGTTACCCCATGGCGTATCGACATACGCCCAGTCCCATAGAGCACACTGCACACAAGTTCGGCACAAGTTTACCCACACTCAACGGGGGGAATACACAACTCCAATATACGCAAACAATCCCCGATGCAGAACCGATATGTGGAGACGTCCACTGACAGCAGCGTAGTGGGTCGAGAACGCCGTTTTCACATGTTCACGATACTCCGGAGTGCTCCGCTGCATCAGCTCAAAAACCTCCCGCTGCCCTTCTACGGTCCGTAGTTGGAAGGTCTCGGAAACCTTGTTCAAATCCCACCATCCCACTGTACACATTGAGCACGGCTGCAGTGCTATCGCCGCCATCGTGCATGTGACAACACACGACTCGGGGTGGTCACACATGTAGTCCGCCAGCAACGGATGAACTGTCATCTCCACGCCCGCTGCGTCTTGCACTTTGATCCCGCCACTGCGAGCAGCACAATATTACACCATGTTATAAACGCCCAAACACTCCATGCGACAACACTGCCCGGTCATGCATGCTCCACATCGACACATAGCCATATGGTGGCATGACGACATACCTTTCCTTGCTTGAAAAGGCCATTAGGGGGCCTAGTACAATGCCCAGCATCACTTGCATCACCTCGGCCTTTTGCTCGGCTGACATTTCCACAGGCAGCGGTGGAAACATAGCAATCAGCTCGGTTGCTCCCAGAATCCACCTTAATGCCTCTGGAATGTTCATGAGCGTGAATTGCAAGGGGTGCGCCGTTTGACGCCCATTGAAACTCAGGTGGGTCACATCACTAAACAAAATCACTCCTGCTACAATCGCCTCTCCATCCATAGCTCCCTGTAAATGTCACAAGAGACCACTTAGTACAAACGGTGCGAATGGTTTGGCATGACATTGACCTGCTGTGGTGGTAATGCTCACCGTGGCTTCCTTAAACCATTTGCCACCCACCGCATTGCGATATACCGTCACCCCGTCGACCGTCTCTTCCCTCCATGCAGTGGCAAACCCATCCACTCCTGACATCCTCTCCCATAATGCCACAAATACCTCCACGATCGGGCGGTGACGAAACGTCAACACACCGAGATCTCCTTCAAGTACTATTTCGACCTCCTCCCAGTGCTCATGCGCTTCCAAAACCTTCTCCTCCCATTTTTCCAGATCTCTATAAGTCTCCCACGCTTCGAGATCGTCGTCAGACGGGTTACGCGCCTTAAACAGCTGTATAATGTCTATAATAGCCTCATTCGGGAGGTTGTCCTTGCGAGCGATGTGCACAATCTCTGCACGAAAGTCAACCTCTATATCGCCTTCCTCCGACCGTTCAGAGCTAGCCGCGCTCGACACGCTGTCCGTCTCATGTGCCTCCGGAACATCCTCACTCTCCTCGCCACGCTCACTCTTCTCGTCCCCCACTTCATCCTCGCC